CAGTGAACAAAGTTGGCAGGCATCACATTGACAGTGATATTGACAACATAATTTCTCATGATACACTGATAGGGTACAATATAATTTCTATGTTATTCTTCCTAGTACTACACAACCTCTATCTAATTATAAGAAAATAAAGATAATCTCAAACCGAGGGTTATTTCACAAAATAAGACCAGTATCCTTCTAAGGTAGAGTTGCTATGAGTTGTAGTTAATTCAATGACACCGAATAACAGTAAAAGTCTCAGAGTCATAAAAGACAAAAAGAATTGTCAGAAGTAATGAATGAATAGTAAAGAAATTTGATAACTAAATGCATTTTAAGATCTTGAATTGGAAAGGAGGGAGGGAGAGATTGAGAGGGAGGGAGGGAGATGGTGAAATCTGAATGAAATTGTAGTTTATTTAATAGAATGGTGTCAAGGATAATTTCTTAATTTTGATAATTACTGTGACAACATAAGAAGTTAACCTTAGAAGAAACTAGAGAAAGGGTATATGGGAACTCTCAGTATCATTTTTGTAGGTCTTCAGTAAATCTAAAATGATCTTATTACAAAATGTTTTAAAATTCTCTATAAATAAAAACTTGGAGTAGAAACATTGTTCTGCATATATAAGTGAGTTAATTGAAGCATTTTTTAAAAATTAGATATTTTAAAATTTAAAAATATCACAGTCCTTTTGTACAAAACATTCTTTAGGCACTTGAGTTATTTAAAAATAGTTAACAGTTAACTCTGACTCATGTTAGAGGACGTTGATCACCAGTCTTTTTAACACAGCATGTTTGGTCACCGCAAACCTCCAACCTTTGTGTTGGCAGAGAATTCTACTAATTCTTCATATTACCCAAGGGCTCCATAAATTCAAATGGTCCTAATGTTGCTTTACATTTTGGGAGAAGTTGTTTCCCTAATTATTTACATTTTTAAAATTTTTAGAACTTCCCAATGGGGATCTGGACTTAATCTCAGGGTTTACTCCAAGGCTAACTGAATATTCAACATTCAGCTAATTGATGTAGAGATAATCCTAGCTTTTAATCATCAGATAAAATTGCTTGATAATTTATACTCTGGATGAAAATAATATTAGATCAGTATTTAATTAGTGGCTCCCATAACTGGAGCCACAGACCAGATTTTCATTAGTCTAAAGACCAAAAAAGGGGGGTGGAACCATGAAACACTAAGAGCAGAAGATATGGATTACATCTCAACATCAAGGAAACAAAAAATCCTCACTACTGGACCAATAAGCAACATCGTGATATATGGAGAAAAGATTGGAATTGTTAATGATTTTATCTTACATGTATTCACAATCAACAACCATGGTAAAAGCAGTCGAGAAATCAAAAGACATTTGGGAAATTGTTAATGATCTCTTTAAAGTGCTAAAGAGTGAAGATGTAATGTTAAAGACTAAAGTGTACATAATTGAAGCCATTGCATTTTCAGTTACTTCCTATGCATGTGTAAGTTAGACAATGAATAAGGGTGACAGAAGAATCTATACCTTTGAATTGTGGTGGTGTCAAAGAGTACTGAATATTCCATAGACTGCTAAAAGAACAAACAAGTGTGTCTTAGAGGAAGTGCAAACAGGGTTCTCCAAAGAGGCAAGGATGGTGAAACTGCCTCACATAAGGGTCAGTCCTTGGAATAAGACATCATGTTGGGAAAGGTGGAGAGTCAGAGAAGGAGAAGAAGACCTGCAAGACGAATTGACACAGTGACTGTGATAAAGGGCTGGAGATGGTGAAGATGGCATAGGATAGGGCAAAGTTCAGATCTGTTGTTCATAGGGTTGCTATGAGTCATAGTTGACTCAATGGAACCTAAGAACAAGAACAAGAGAAATGAGAAAGAAAAAAAAAATACAAATACAAAACACTTTTCATAAAAGTTTACGTATTTTTTCAGTTTAAATAATAGTTTCACTTATAAGATTATTCCCGTGTTAAAATGTCATTTCCTGTTTGAAATAATGGGAGTAGGAAATGGTACATCTTATTTGTTTTAATACCTACACTTGGAAAAACAAAAAGTTGGCAAATCTATGCTTCTTTTCCATATTTTTTTCAACAGGGAACAAAAACAGGACATCATTTTTTTCTTACAAAGTATATTCAAATCCACAAGCAACTTTACCACATTCACTCTAAGTCATTTTGACAGTATCAGTCTTGTAGGGATGAAGTGGCATGTCATGTGGATTTGATAGGCATTTCTCTACTGATCAGTGGGGGAGCTATGGTGGAGTAGTCTATAGGAATTGGTGTGCTGACCTGAGGATGGCACCTCTGCTAGTTCGAATCCACCAGTAGGTCCACAGGAGTGTAATGGGCAGTCTCCTCCTGTGGAGTGACAGCTCTAGAGAGCAGATGGAGAGTCAGCTAGGAGTCAGTTCTGTCTAGACAGAAATGAGTTGAGTTATTGCATGACTGACTACTCAGAGGGAATTGCATTACAAATCCAAAGGTCTATTTCTCTGGCCGTTCAAATACACCAAATGTCCTTTCCATTTTTGGTACATTGTCTGTGTGTGACAGAATTAGAGATTTTGTGTGTATGGGTTAGAGAAAGAGAATTTTGCTGCTTGCCTTGTCCTTGATAACAAGTGAAGCTCCACTGATTATGCTTACATCATTATCACTAAATAAAATACAGTATTCAGTGATGCAATGATTTATAATACAATTAATTATTCAGGGATAATTATGTAATCACATTATGGAATGTAATAAAGTTCAGTGGTTTTGAGTTAATATTTTTAAATTTTTTTTTAGTTTATAATTTTTATTAATGGATTGCTACTTATCCATATCGGTTAGGTCTATGTCTTTTCTCTAGAAAAGTTTCCAATTTTAGCATCCTAACCCAAATACACTGGAACACTTAAGGCTTGTACTAGAAGACCTTTACTCCAAATGAGAAGGATTATAAGACATGGAAAATATTTTATATTAATAAGAAAAATGATTCAGTGCTGTAAGTAATAGAACTGATATAACTTTAGAATTTCAGGTTTAAATATTGTGTTTTTTAGAGTAATGCACGTAAGTAAAAACCTATTAAAGCAAACAATTAACTTTTAAAGCACATTAGTATTTATAATATTAAAATGTTGGTTTACTAAATTTTAAAATAGCATATGAAGGAAAAACAATGATGATTTAAAAAAAAAAAGATAAAGAAAGCAAGCCTAATTTACTTCTAGGGAGCTCTGGTAAGAGCTAGTGGCAAGAAACTGCTGCAATCACAAAGGCACGTGATTCAAATCCACCAGCTGCTCAGCAGGGGAAGGATGGGCAATCTCCTTCCATGTGATTCACTACCTCTAAAAACCTGCTGGAGGAAGGGAGCTGTGGTGTCCTAGTGGCAAGAAGCTGCACTGCAATCTCAGAGGTATGTGGTTTGAATCCACCAGATTCTCTGCTGGAAAAGGAGGCGCAATCTCCTCCTGTATCAGTCAGATCTGATTTGATGGTACACACACAAAATAGTAATAAAATAAAAAATTTCTTTAAAAAAAAACCTGCTGGAGGAGCAGCTTTGTGACAGTTCTGACATCACCACCACCATCACCACCAATTTACTTCTATAATACTCGATCTGATTTTAGGAGTGATTTGCTAGCAAAGATCTAATTTTCCCAATTTCCATGCCATCACTTCTCAGAGTAAAGTAAAATCACATAAAACTACATTTGATACTATCTGCACATATATCTTTCCATAAAGGTACTTAATTGGTATATAAACTCGTTATAGAGCTTTTTTTCCCCCCTGCCTCTTTTTTTTTTTTTTAAAAAAAAAACAGTCCCTCCCTAAGGACTATCCACAGTTACCTTTGTATCCAAAGATGAAATTTGTAGGTGAAAGGAGTTAGCCTTAGTTACACACTCGTTAATTTCAGGGTCCAAAATATGGAACACTTCACGAATTTGCGTGTCATCCTTGCGCAGGGGCCATGCTAATCTTCTCTGTATCGTTCTAATTTTAGTATATGTGCTGCCGAAGCGAGCACTTTATAGAGCTTTTTAAAGAAATAGTTGTTCACTCATCTTTAGCCATATTAAAACTACAACAAGCCTTATTTCTTTTTCACCTCACTAATTTTTAGTCCTCACATTCAAATAACATCTATCTGATAAGGCAAAGATAGACATCTAGATATGAAAGAGACAAATTTGAGACTTATCTGAGGTCTAAAATAACCATAAAGAAAATACACATCTAAATTTTGGAGAACATTTCTGAACTAAATATCTTTAGCCTTTTGTCTAACCTAATATTTGCAAATAAGTAAAATTTATTATGTCTTCCCATCATGATTATCTGTGGGAACATTTTCACCAGGAATTCCCATCATTATGAGTGTTAAGTGCTGGTTTAGGTATGATATCTGTATAAACTAACCACCAAAACCCCTAGAAAATGCTAAAATATATATTTCCTGATTCTCAACTCTAATTATTCGCCAGTATGTCAGAACTGAAAGTTTGTTCTCTTCCTTATGTATACATAATGTAACTTTCTACTGAAAAAATAATTTCAAACAATGCTTTTAGGTGCCATTGAGTCAACTTTGAGTCATAGCAAGCAACCCAATGAACAACAGATCTGAACCTTGGCCTATCTTGTGCAAAATAACAGGATATCGCTATAGAATTTTCAGGACCAGGACTAATTAATTCCTAGAGAAGGCATGAATAATGGCTCATTTACAAAGAGGAGAGAAAAGCAAAAGTCCCCACTTCTGCCATATAGGCACCTATAGGTGGAAGGATTTCCTTAAACAGAATCAGGACAAACTTTGCACTAATTGGAGTAAGCCTCACTCTAGGCTTTCTATTTTCACTAAACTGGAGATAGCTTCTCTCTCTACTGTAACTGAAATCCATCACCATTTTTGTTTCTATAAGAGTGGGATGTTTTTACCTATCAAATGTAAAAGTGGGCAGCTTTCATTTCTGGATGTTAGTATAAACTACATGTAGTCATCAGGTATCTGGGCACGGCCTTCTAATCCCTGAGAGTTGCTCCTCTCAGAATTTGGAGGCAAGTTGGCATCAGCCTCATCTTTTGCTTCTCCGGGGCCCTGTGGGAAAGGGAAGTTGGGCATAAAGCGCTTAAGAAACCGAAATTCACTGTTGCCAGTGCCAGTGGCCGAACACATTTCATATGAACAAGGCTGCGATAAGGATCCATTGTCTCTTACTTGTACCAAGTTGTTAGGGAAATGACAGTCATCATAGAAATGCTCTTGAACTGTAAACTTTTCTTTGTATTTAATCTTCTGGTAGATGTGCATAATGAAGATCACTGTGACAGAGAAAAGAAAGATAAAAGAAAGCACAGCCAGAGAAATGACCAAGTACTTGGTGGAAGGATTCACCTTTCTTGGCTGCTTGGATGGATCTCGGAACTGCAGGTAGGGCTCTGAAAAGCCATCTACCAGCAAGATGTTAAGTGAAGCAGTAGTGGAAAGCGAGGGTTGGCCATGGTCTTGAACAAGAATGATTAACTTCTGCATCATGGGGTCTCTCTCAGTTATCTGCCGCAATGTACGGATTTCCCCATTTTGCCGTTGGACAGAGAATAAACTAACGTCAGTGGCCTTAAGCAGGTGGTATGAAAGCCAAGAATTCTGACCTGAGTCACCATCCACAGCCACCACCTTGGTCACCAGGTAGCCTGCTTCTGCAGACCTGGGTACCAGGTCATTGCATGGCAAGGTGCCATTCTGCAGTGGATACAGTATCATTGGGCGGTTGTCATTGTCATCTAGGACAACCACTTTGACAGTAACTTGGCTACTCAGTGACAGGAAGCCCCCATCAATAGCCTTCACTACAAACTGAAAATCTTGAATGGCCTCGTAATCCATGGTTCTCAGTGCATAGAGCTTTCCATTGTCTGAGTTTATGGAGATGTAAGCAAAGACTGATAGATCGCCACTTTTGGGAGGCAACAGAGAATATGTGACTTGGGCATTCTCACCCAGATCTAGGTCTTCAGCATGTACTTTGCCAATAAAAACTGCAGGGCTGTTGTTTTCCCGAACAGTCAAGACATAGGAGTCTTCCTGAAATACTGGCGGATTGTCATTAATGTCAGCTATTAGCACCTCTATCACAGTCTCAGTAGATAGATTGGGTGGCCCTGTATCCATGGCAACAAGGGTGATATTATACCCAGAAACCTCCTCCCGGTCCAAGCTTTTATCAGTGACCAGAGAGTAAGAATTCCGGAATGTATGTTTGACTGCAAACGGCATGTCTCCTTTGAGAAAACAGGTGATTTTCCCTCCCACTCGAACATCACGGTCTCGGATAGTGAAAAGGGCCACTACTGTCTGTAATGGGGAGTCCTCGGGGAGAGGGCTGGACACGGAAGAGACCATCACTTCAGGAGGGTTGTCGTTCACATCCACCACTTCCACCAGAACTTTGCTATGGGCAGAGAGGCCCCCTCCGTCCGTCGCCTGAATGTCAATGTCGTATGTTTCAATTGCTTCAAAGTCCAGGGGACCTCGCAGTCGAATCTCCCCAGTTTGAGGATCCATTTGAAATGTCTGGAGAATTGCTTCTGGGTTTTGAGCTAAAGAGTAGGTTATCTCCTTGTTAGTGCCCTCGTCTAGGTCTGTTGCAGCCACCATGGCCACCAAAGAACCATTGGTGCTGTTTTCTGGCACTTGCGCGCGGTACACCAGTCGTGAGAACTGGGGCACGTGGTCGTTGACGTCCAGAACCACCACGCGGATGTGGGCGGTGCCAGACTTGGGCGGGGACCCGCCGTCCACAGCGGTGATTGTCAGGTTGACTTCAGGCTGTTCCTCCCTGTCCAGTGGTTTATCCAGCACGAGCTCGGCGTATTTGGGTCCGTGGCTGCGGAAGCGGGTGTGCAGGTGGAAATAGGCATTGGCGCTCAGGGTGTAGTTCTGGAGGCCGTTGAGACCCACATCTAGATCCTGGGCGCTTTGCAGAGGAAAACGTGAGCCCAAGGGAGTACTTTCTGGAATCCTTAAAAGTGGCTCTTTGTTTAGGAAAACCGGGGCATTGTCATTGATATCAAATACCCTGACCTCGGCCCGGAAGGACTGAAGTGGCTCCACCAGGACGATTTCAAAGTGCAGGACGCACGGGTCAGCTTTGCCACAAAGTGATTCTCGATCCAGTTTCTCTTTCACAAACAGGTCTCCGGTTTTGCGATGGAGCCGGAAATGCAGTTTGTTACCCTCAGAAACGAGCCGCGCCCCGCGCGCAGCCAGCTTCCCCACCTCCAGCCCTAGGTCTTTAGCCACATTGGCCACGAACGAACCGCTCTCCATCTCCTCCGCCACCGAATAGCGGATGGTACCCCCACCTCCCACAGACACACACAGGAAAAGGAGAAGAGAGCCCACTTGCCTGACGTGCAGGAATTTTCTGCGCGCACTCTCCATCCAAGGTTCTCTGGAGCACTCGCGGCACTCAAAGCCAACTGTTTGCGAATGTATTTTCACTTTTCCGCCACTGGCTTGGTGGTTTCTGAGCAGCGCCTTTGCTAGCCTCTAGCCGCAGCGCCACCAGCCGCTAACCTTAGCTTCTGTGAGTTGTTTTGCATCTCACTTGAAAGAAAATTTGCATCGAACAACTCAACTCCCCAGTCTATCGAATGTATTAATAGGTATGTTCTCATCCCTGAGAGTGAGGTGGAGGTTGAAAGTTTGTTGTCAAAGCAACAGCAGGCTCGCCTTTACGGGGGGGTGGGGGCCGGGGGGGGGACGGAGGAATAAAGTTCTTGGGAATTGAGAGGCCAATGAGGGCACTCGTTCAAGCTGAAGTCATCGTTGCTGTGAGCCGGCTTGGGCTGCTTTAGCAATGAGCAAACAGGGACAAGCTACACCTGCAAGCTTCACAGTCCGCCTGAACAGCAAGGGAAGGGGCGGGGTGGGGGAATCCTGCAATGCTTTCTGAGGTCTGAGTTAAAAATATTGTAGAGTGAGGAAGGCGGCAGAATGTAGGGAAGGTGGTTAGTAGGCAAATGATAAGGAGATAGCCAGGTTCCTTTCAGGAACCTGGGATCCAGTAGGTACACTGTACACTGATAGGACACTTAAATAACTGGCTTCTTGGCGTGCAGAAATTCATGCTTTGTCTCAGAATGTTCAAATGCTTAGGAGAGAGCAAGCTTGTCACTTACGGTTATGATAGCAGGATTTATTATGGGACACTACCCTGATTTATGTGCATATCTCATTTAACTTTAGCAACAAGTCTATTACACAGACATTTATAAAATTATACTTTTAAAGGAACAATTTTAGGCTTACAGAAAAATTGTGTAGAGAGTACAAATAATTCCCATGTAACTCCCATGCACATTATTTCTCCTATTATTAATATTTTACATTCTTCTAGTAGTTTTGCTACAACTGATGAGCCAATATTTATGATTATTACTAACTGAAGTCTATATTAAGTATCACTGTGTTGAAAAGTCTTATGGGTTTTGAAAAATACTTAATGTAATGTTCCACTACTGTTAAAATATATTGTCATTGCCCTAAAAATTTCTTGTTCCTCCCTTATCCCCCTAGACAACCACTAATTTTTTCACAGTCTCCAAAATTTACTGTTTCCAGAATATTTTACGCTTGAATCATACAGCATATAGCTTTTACAAATGAATTTATTTTACTTAGCAGTATACATTTAAATCCATATCTACTCTAGCTTGAAAATAGATTTATGTTTTCAATGAATATTACTAAATTGTATGGATATAACAAAGTTTATTTTTCTATTCACCTACTGAAGGACATCTTAGAAAATTTAGACAAATTAGACAATTGTAATTGTTGCTGTTGTTAGCCATTAAGATGGTTCTAACTCAAAACGGCTCTATATACAACAGAACAAAGCACTTCCCTGGTCCTGTATATCCTCAAAATCACTGCTATGAGACCGCTGTTGCAGCTGCTAGTCATCTCATCTCATTGAGGACTTTCCTCTTTCTTTTTGCTTGCCTTCTACTTTACCAAGTATGATGTCCTTCTCCAGGGTCTGATCTTGCCTTATAACATGTCCTCCTTATAACCTGAGACAAATTCTTGCCATCATAGCTTCTAATGAACATATTGATGGCACTTTTTCCAAGATAGATTTCTTTGTTCTAAGGAGAGTCCACAATATATTTAATATTCCTTGCCAACACCATAATCCAAAGCTTTCATGTCTTCTCTGGCCCTCTCTATTACACAGTTTTCACATGCTTATGAAGTGATTGAAAAGATCATGGTTTGGGTCAGGGATGCCATAGTCTTCCAAGTGAAATCTTTATTAATACATGTAGGAGGTGCTTTACAGCATATTTACCTAACACAATAATTGTTTGATTTATTGATTATTATTTTGGCCTTGCCTCACCTTGTGGACTGCCTCTCCAGGGGAAAACATGACACTGACCTAGCAAGGACCTGCAACAATCAAGCCTTCTGGACCTTGTGCCACTGCCTTGATGTGGGAATCCCTGACACCCACAGTTACATCTCTATTTGCTTGCCCTTCTGCTTTTCCCACAGGGTATCATTTATCTATCACTTTCTTGTATTGGGGCACAGGCTATGCATGTGGCTGCTCTGGCTGCTCTTAATAACTTAGATACATATGTGCTTGCTTTTCTGTCATCTGCTTCTTTGGGTATAGTCCTTGTCTGTCAGATGCTATGCTAAAGTGAAGCTCCCAGATTTAAACAGACTAGCAAGGATTGACCATCCACTCCTGAAATAACAGGCTTTGGAGAATCCCATGACATATAACGCACATATAGACCATTACATATTGCACTAGAGGCTGGAAGACACAAAAAATGTGGAGGAACTGTTTCAAACATCCACTAATAATTGAAACATAGAACACACGAAATAAGAATATGGGAAAACTGGATATTGTTGAAAAAGAAATGGAACACATAAAGGTTGACATTCCAGGCATTAACGAGCTGAGATGGACTGAATTTTGTCACTTTGAATCAGACAATCATGATCCACCATGTTGGGAATTTTTTAAAAAAATTGAAAAATGGGGTAGTAAAAAAATCTCATTTCTAGATCCATCTTGAAGTATGACATTGTGACAGGATAATAGCCATATACATACAAGGAAGACCTGTTGATACCACTGTTGTTCTTGTTATGTGCCATCGAATCGTTTGTGACTCATAGCGACCCTATGTACAACAGCCCTAAACCCTGATCTATCATGTGCCAATCACATTGCCTCTGACACACCCATCCCGATTACCCCAGTCACTGAATCAATCCACCTCATAGAGGGTCTTCCCCTCCTGTGCCGTCCCTCCAACCTCTCCCAAGCATGATGTCCCTCTCCAAGGACCTGTCTCTCCTTACAACATGTCCAAAGTATGTCAGACGAAGCCCCAGAATCCTTGCCTCCAAGGAATAGTCTGGTTTAACCCTCTCTAGGATGAATCTGTTTGTTTTCTTGGCAGTCCAGGGTACATTCAATACTCTTCTCCAGCACCACAGCTCAAAGGCATCAATTCTCCTTCTATCTTCCCTAGTCATTGTCCAACTCTCTGATGCATAACAAGTGATTGCAAAGACCATGGCCTGTATCAGGTGCACCTTAGTCTCCAGAGAGACACCATTGCTCTTGAGTACTTTAGAGAGGTCCCTAACAGCAGACTTTCCCATCGCAATATGTTTTTTTATTTCCTGGCTGCTGGTGCCAAGAGTGTTGACTGTGGAGCTGAGCAAACTGAAGCTGTGAACAATCTCAGTCTCTTCACCATCCGTCCTGATGCTACCAATTGGTCCAGTAGTGAGAATCTTTGTCTTCTTGACATTGAGCCTCAGTCCATACTGAAGGCTGAAGTCCTTGACCGTCTGCAGTAAGTGCATGAGGTCCTCCTCAGTTTCAGCAAGCAGGGTTTTGTCATCTGCATAACACAGATTGTTAATAGATCTTCCACCAATCCTGACGCCACAATTCTCCTCATAGAGCCCAGCCTCTCAGATAATCTGCTCTGCATACAGGTTGAAAAGGTATGGAGATAGGACACATCCCTGGGTTACACCCTTCCCAATTTTGAACCATGCAGTGCTACCCTGCTCTGTCCTAATGACTGCCTCTTGGTCCATGTATAGGTTTTGCATTAGCACGATTAAATGTTTAGGGATTCCTATTCTCAGAGTCAGCCACAGTTTATTATGATCCACACAGTCAAACGCCTTTGCATAATCAATGAAACACAGATAGACATTCTTCTGGTATTCCCTGCTTTCAGCTAAGATCCATCTAACATCAGCTACAATGTCCCTACTACCACGACCCCTTCTAAACCCAGCCTGGACTTCCGGCAGTTCTCTGCTGATGTGCTGTTCCAGTCGTTTTTGGATAATCTTCCGTAGAATCTTGCTTGCATGTGAAATCAATGATATTGTTCTGTAATTTCTGCAATCAGTTGGGTCACCTTTCTTTGGAAGGGGAACAAATATAGATCTCTTCCAGTCAGTTGGCCAAGTGGTTGTTCTCCAGATTTCTTGGCACAACTTGGTGAGTACATCCAGGGCAGCATCTGTTAGCTGAAATATGTCAATTGGTGTACCATCTATTCCTGGGGCCTTATTTTTTGCTATTTCCTTCAAAGCAGCACTATCATTCAAATATATGCATCAACAGCTAAAGCCAAACAGGAGGAAATAGGAAGGTTTCTACCAACCTTGCAGTCAGAAATGGATCAAACATGCAACCATGGTTTATCATTAACAATAATGGTGATTAATATTATGAAACATGATGTATGAGAATTATTGTATGAAACACAGTGAAAATGAAGAATAGTGTGAAATGCAATGTATATCAAACTTTGTAAGCAAACCAATTAAAGAAAAACACAACCCTAATCAACAACAAACTCAGGAGAGACTAAAGGCATTCATTTCTCTTGCAAACAGGCATCAGACGGGATCTCTTCTATCACCACTATTGAATTATATTGGAAGTCTTAGAAAATAGTATTTTAATGTATATTAAGGTTAATTTCTGATCAATTACATTTATTCAAATAGAAGTTAAAGTTTTAAAAAATGATAGTTGGTGACTAGAATGCAAGAATTGGGAACAAGGAAGGACTAGTAGTCAGGAACTGTGGACTTGGTGACAGATATGAGGCTTGAAATAGAATGATAGAATTTTGCACAATCAATGATTCATTTACTGTGTTGTTGTTATGTGCTATCCCGTCAGTTGTAACTCGTAGCGACCCTGTGTATAACAGCTCTGAAGCCTGCCCTGTCTTAAGCCAGTCTCACTGACTCCAACACACATATTCCCATTGCCTCATTCATTCATTCTTTCACCGTCATTCATTGTAAATCTCTTTTAGAAAAAACCAGAAATGGGTGAGGAGGGGGTGTTAACCATAGGGTTGTACAATTTGGTGAGTGAGTGGGGGGAGTGAAGGAAATGGGAACGATTCGGTGTGAAAAACAGTGTATTCAAATT